TCAGCAGGGGTATTTTTGGAATCTCTTCTTTTCAATTTAGCTTCAATTTTCTGTTCATCTAATTCTGATTGTCGTTTCAAAACTTGTCTATACTCTGTGTCATGAAATTTGAACAAATGTTGCTTTAAACCGTGTACTGTTTGCTTTTTTGGTTCTCGACTACCTAACGAATATGATTTATTACATACTTTACAAATGGCTTTCGATGGATCTGTTGTACATTTACTGTAGTATTTCCAAATTGGATTCTTTTGTGACATTTTGTTATATCTGAAACAATAAGAGTTTTTATTTAAAAAACTTATGGGTATATATGTATAAGTAAGGAGTACACTCTATACTTAAAAAGATGTTTATTGCACTAAATTACACAAACTACTACTAATAATAATTACTGTATTATTGTATTATTTATTGTGCAATTAAATTTAACAATAACAATAACTTATGGCCATCGCACAAGCTTTTCCGTAACACGTTACGTTACGTTAAGTATTGACTGTAAACTTAGATTCGTACGTAATCTTAAACTTCAGTTAACGCACAAAAAAAATAGTAACGTAATAAAAGCATATCACTACGTTATGTTTTTTCTTTCTGCGTTGACTGAAGTTTAAGATTACATACAAATCTAGGTTTACGGTCAGTAATAAACGTAACGTAACGTGTTACGAAAAAACTTGTGCGGTGGTCCTAATACATATTTATTACATTCAAAGATCATTCCATACTCTGACAGTAAGATAATGACAATTAAAATAGTATTAATAGTTTGCGTCATATATGTGTGTCGTCATATATGATTGTTTCCAAACGAGAGAAACCCCTTTCCGCCGTTCTTTATTCGTAAAATGATCTAAATCGGTTTACGTTTACGTGATGCAGTCGCCGTATTTTCGTAAAAATTTTACAGGCAGTGTAATGAAGGGCCCGTACTATCTTGCATTGTGATAAGATGCAAAGCTGTAATAATATTTTGTAAAATTTTGGATTTTACAATATCCTTGTCTTTATATTATTTGTATGTATGAAGATTGATGCGCTAATGATTCATGTCATTAAGCCTCAATTAACAAAACTAGATCGTTTTGTGCGTCATCTCGCGTAATTAAAAAACATATATACATATGAGTCCAAACGAGTAGAAAAAACTTATGATTTTTATAATCTCTAATATGCGGCTATAATATTATTTGCAATATCTCGTATATATTGTTAGCTGCGTACTATAAATAATCGCAAAATGTAGATAAATTTAAATTTTGGTGCTCTACCGCGAATGATACATTGGAACTCTTCTACGACTGGTCCTCCGCTAACACCCTGTTGATAAACTTGCATCTAGGATACCATTTGATGTGGTCTTGTTTAGGATTATCTTCTGGATCCCACTTTTCCAGACCTCCACCGCAATAGAAGCAGTAGACTCTGTCGTTGTCGTTTGCACATACGAAACCGGCGGCCGCTAGATCTTCCTTTTTCTGGGTGATCGTTTCCGGCCACAACATGTAAGTGTCTAATCTACTCTCGTAGTAGGCAAATTTGGGATACTTAGCGCCTATTAGATCGCCAATCTTAACTATTTTAAAGACCTCTGCGTCCTCAAAGTAGACCTCGATCATATTATTGAGATTTAATCCTGACGGGTTTAATTCACATATTTCTCTCATTTTCGGCACACGTGGCGGAATTATATCCGGATCGACATTGATCGATACATTCCCGCAAGGTATTATGCGGACGAATCTACATCTCGGGGAACGTCGTTTGTGCTCAGTTAACGGATCTAAATCGTCCTTCCAGCCGGATATGATGACGTAGCAGTCGAAGCATTCCACGATATCATATTGCCCGGTATAATAGAAACCAGCGCTTGCAAGTTTCTCAGGATATTTGCTGTTTACGGTCGACACGGCCCAGCTATCGAAGCTCTGTAATCTCGCGATCTCGAATCGATAGTCTGTGCGGTCCGTCTCGTCGACCGATTCGAAAACCTCCATTGGCTGCATCGAAAGTAGCTTGTTTTCAAAATTGTCCAAAATGCTCGTGTGTGATACGGATCACTTCGAGCATCTCTAGGAGGAAATATCTTGTAAAAATCTGTAAAGAGAATATATAAAAATTTAACTTAGAAACCATTCGGGTAAGACTTCTATTTGAACCGCATTGAGGAATATAAGAAATATAAAAGATTAATTGTGTTCTCCCCCCCCCTCTCTCTCTCTCTCTCTCTTTGTTTGCAAAGTGCAGAATGAAAAAAGATACAATTAATGAAATGATGTAAAAGAAAAATTATAGTCTTCAATTTATTAAGACCTCTCTCGCACTCGCGGACATTTGTATCTTACATTAAGATTTTCTTAATCGAGATAAATTTTGATTTAAATTAAATGAAAAACGCAATTCTTTGGTTTATTTGACGAAGAACATAGGCCATTTATTTGCAACTTTGATACTTCGATTAGTCGAATTTTATAGGTTTACGATGACTCAGTTATGCTGTGGTTTCATCATTCTTTTCGTTAACTGAATAGCATGCGAGTTTTTCTCGGAATAAACACAAATAGTTAAGTTGGTATTCTTATACAGGTAAAAAGATTATCGCAAGATTCGATGAGTGATCACGTAGTTGTTAAGATCTGTAAATCACAAATCGTAGCAACATTTATCTATATTCTTGACAAATACTATTCGCTCTGAATGTATTTTGCAGGAAGAGATTTTTCTTTCTCTCTCTGTCTCTCTCTTTCGCAATTCTCGACATAAAAAGCACATTCCAGAGCTATGACATGTACGCATAATGTGTAGCTTGTCTATCGCGCATCTGCAATATTTCTACCGATAAATAATGTACTAAAACTTTTCTATAATCAAGACATATTTACATTAATAACTTATTTAAAAAATTTTATATATCAAAAATATAAATTATATTTTAAATTATGTATATATATATATATAAACAAAA